AGCATCTGAATGCGTTATGCTGAGAGAAGTTATGAGGAAAAACAGAGCATTATATGAGAATGGCAATGATCCAGGGTGGTCAGGAAAGATCCTTTTCCTATGGTGACATCTGGACAGGTCTTTAAGAAAGCAAAGAAACAGGACCGACAGATATCAGAGAGAAGAACAATCTGGGTAGAAAGAAGGGCATAATGTTAAGTGAAATCACTCATACAAGCTTAAATATCTCATAGTTTCTCATATAAGTATAAACAAATTAAAGAGCAAAGCAAAAACAGGCTACAGGAAACAGGGAAATAGATCTCTTACAAGAGATGGGGAGGGGAGGAAACATAAGGATAATTAAGATGTGTTTTGTGTATTGCCACCTCCCCAGGAGGGGTGTAATCATTATGTTCTGCAAACATACACTGAGGAAACTGCTTTTTGGAAAGAAAAGAAGAATAGCTAATTATAAAAATTTCTAAGGGGGGACTATGCTTCATTTGTTCAAGGTTTAGCAAAGACACCAGCGGCTGAGTCAGAGTAGACATGGGAACAAATGACCAGAAGATGAATTTGGAGAAACACAGGGGCCAGAGCAGGGCAACCATTGAGAGGCTTCTAGGTTTTTCGCTGAGAGACGTGGGAAGCCATTGGGTGGTTCTGAGCAGAGTAGGGACAACTTGATGTATTTTTTTTCCCCAGTACTAGTGATTGAACCTAGAGCTGCCCGGCTAAGTTACACCCTCAGCTCTTTTTATTTTTTTAATTTTGAGACATGGTTCCACTAAGTTGCCCAGGCTGGCCTTGCACTTGTGATACTCCTGTTTCAGCCTCTTGGGTAACTGAGATTGCAGTCCTAGATTGCACCTAGCTTGATGGACTTTTTAAAAGCACCATTTGAAGATGAGTATGATGGAGTGTGCCTATAATTTAGGACTCTGCAAGACTGAGACAGGAGAATCACAAAATTGGAGTCCTGCCTGAGAAATGTGTCTACTTAATGAGACTCTTATCTCAAAGTACTCAGGATCCAGGTTAGTGAGAAGACCCTGGGTTCAATCTCCATTATCCCCCAAAATCAATCAATTAATACACACATGTATCATTTGAATGCATGTTGAGAGCGGATTGTAGTGGAACAGGGACAAAAAACAGTGAGACTAGTTGCAAGGCTCCTTCCGGGTTTCGGAGCATGGAAGATGGCATCTTGCTGGCTCCGGGTGGAGCGAAGGCAGTGATCAGGAATAGCTGGGTCCTGGGTAGATTTTCAAAGTAGAGCCAGTAGGCCTCACTGAGGGCTTCAAATACAGTGTGAAGGAAACTGAGTGTCTGGGATAATAGCAATGTTTTTGTGTCGGAAAACTGGAAAACTGGGGCTGTTGTTTTTTGAAAGGCAGGAGACTGAAGAAGAAATGGATTTTGGATGAAAGAAAACCAGGAGTTTGGTTTTAGGAATGTTAACCTTGAGATACTTAATAAACATATACTTGAAGAGGTGAGATTTTCAAATCTGGAGTTCAGGAGAAAAGTTACAGCTGGATATATATCTACATAAAACAACTCAATTTTGTGTTATCCTTATTCGTACATGTGTGTAGTACATAATGTTTGCATTCGCTGTGAGGAGTCGGTACACACACATAGCACATCACTGCTGTACCAGTGAAGGGGTAACTCTGGAGCTCACTCACAGGCACTCATTGGGTCACTCTAATACAAACCAGGACTGAAAATCATGACCTACAGCATGAGAGTTGATGCGGGAAGGAAGAGTCCTGCTTCCTGCTCCCTCCACTGTGTGGAGATCAGGAAGTCAGGAGGAATCAGCAAAGGAGACTGAGGAGGAGCCAGTGGTCAGGGAACAGGAGAGTGCTGTGTCCTTACACTCAAATGAAGGACTATCCCCAGGAAGAAGTGAGTGATTCTCTGTGTAAGACGTTGCTCAGAGATTAAGACAGAGACTAAAAAGCGATCACTACTTGGGATAAGTAGTGAGAGGTCACTGGTGACCTCGGCAAGAGCAATTTTGATGTTGTGGGAACCAAGCCTGATTCTGGGGATCTCACGACCGTGCGCTTGCAGGGCAGGCACTGATGCCACTGAGCTAAATCCTCAGCCCAGTTCTGCTATTTAAAAAAGACTAAGAAAGATGGAATTGGGAGGGTACTATCTGGAGGAAGATTGAAAGGCCAAGAGAGAGTATTTTAAGTTGAGAGACATTAGAACTCTTTGGAATGCTCATAATAAGGGTCAGAAAAACTGATAATGCAGGAAAGAAAGTCGTGTAAACATCTATTGTCTCCCCCGTGTAAGAAACAGAGTAAATAAGATCCCAAATCTACAATAGATATGGTGAAAAGTAAAGAAACTGCTTAAAAGGAAAGAACTGGGATGGGGGAAAGGCAAAAAAGAAGGAAGGAAAAAGAATAAATAGCTAAAATAGTTACACCACTAATTTCTTTCAGTTCATTGAAAAGAATGGTTTGTGCTTGTATTGTTTTGATGATTTTTTTTCATGCCTATATTTTGTAATCTGAGCAACCACTGTGAAGATAACAATACCCAATATATTGACCATTGCTAATTTCCTGCTATCTTGCTATGAAATTCTCTATCATTGTTTTTATTTTTTTGCTTTAAAATAAAAAATTTAAGTCTTAATTGAACATATTTCTCCCACAATCAAGTAGACATGAAAAAGTAAACATGTACTTACAATATAGAGAACATATCATGGGAAGATGATAAATAGCTGTTAAATTACCCTACTCTGCTATCCTGTGTTCGAGTTATTATATTCCTAATCTATTGAAAAAGAGAAACAAGTATGCTCAGGAGCCATGTATGTGGCAAAAATAACCAAAGAAAATGAAAATCTTCCAAGCCCAGATCTTCTCTATGTATGACTTTCAGTTATATCAATTCATGAATATCACTTCACTAATTCTTTTGCTTTTTAAAGACTGGAACTGCTTCAGAGAGTGGCAGAAACAACACAGTTACTATTAGAAGAGAGGAACAGCACTTTGAGGGACATTGAAGGCAATGTGTCTGTTACTGTAACAAGATTTGTAAGCATTCACAATATGCTTTTATCAGACCTTGCAGGAGAAGAATAATATTATTAACAGGAACAAATGTTGTCACTGAAGCTCTAAAGAAGTGAACACATCTTGATAACTGTATACAATGCATGGTATCTATTTTTTAATTTTGTTTACCTACAGCGCAAGTTGTGTCTGTACTACTAAAAATAAAATAAAAAGTTGCTGAATATCTGATGTTTATGATTATATGAATGCTTAACAGAATGAAGATAAAATCATTAGATAAAACAAATAATGGAAAGAATAGAGTCCTTGAGAAGTCCTGGGGGAATGGGCTTCCAGGAACACAAGGAAGAGGGCTGGTCTTACACCACCAGCTCATCCTTTTGGTCAACAGAGAACACAGACTTTATGGATGTAAATGTGGCTAAACCAGTGGATTTGGTAGGAGGAGTATGAGGGAGTTCATGTTATTCTCAGTGGTGGAACTTTTGTATTTGGAGGACTGGAACATTAGTGGCCAGGTTTGAAAATATGAATGCTTGTAGCTTTTGGAGGCATAGATAGTCAGCAATGTCCAAGGAGGACAGAAAATCCAAAGGTGTTGCATTAATTTAACTATCACATAAGTACTTAAATCTTCATTTGAAGATTCTAATTTTTAGACAAATCCTCATTAAATGATATTTTTCATAGCAAGTTAAATGATAAAAGCATGTTTCTCAATGGTGTGATCAGTGTCCTACAAATTTAAAGGTACTTATATGCATTTTATGTAGAAAAATTCAGCAAAATCTTATATTTTCCATCTGTTTGGTGGAACAATGAGTAATTTTAATTCTCTTTTTTGTAGTTTGTTTTTTTTTTTTTTTTTTTTTTTGTACCAGGGATTGAACTCATGACCTCACGCTTGCTAAGCAGGCACTTACGACACTGAGCTAAATTCCCAACCCCTCTTTTTTGTAACTTTAAGTAGTATATTGTTAACACCATGCAATAATACATTGAGAAAAGACATTATATCCAGTAGAATTAAGGCAAAAATACAAAAATAAATGATTTTTTTCTGTTTCAGGGTTGTCCACACTCAAAATTTAAAATTATAGAATTTGACTGTAGATTAGACTGAGACTGAGCTCATGAACTCATGCCTTCAAGGAAATCTACCCATAGGTTTTCCTTTGCCTTATTCTTGGAAAATACTTGATGAATCATGTAATACTCAGTTATCTTTCATCTTGGAAAGAAATTATAACCAACATTTTCGTGAACCAAACTCTGGATTATAATTACAGATTGATTTTTTGTTGTTTTTATGTTGACATAAAATTTTCATGTACTTATTACTTTTGCCATCCATGGGTATTTCTACTTCTTTGGACTATGGTTCTGAGAGTTTTGGAGGATTGTTTCTCTTCATTTTAGCACTGACTACAGCACTGCTTCTGAACTAATGAGGCTACCACAAATCCAAGAATGAATTTCTCAGTTGCATAATCTATTTCCAGATTGTGTTACAAAACAAGGGTAGATGTGTTGAATATTTATGGCTGGCTGGTTGTGTAGCCAGTCTTTGGTGACCTAATTCTTGTGAGCAAAGAACAGTTCTCTCCAGGATAGGATCTGATCAATTCCACAATAAAATTAAAATGAATAAGAATGTGCCATAGAGATGCGAAGCATTGGAGGAACATAAGGACAGAGAGACTTGCATAAGGACAGGAGAGTTGACTGGGAAGAAGTACGTTATTTACTCAGGATAAAACATCCCTGCCTGTTTCACTGCATAGTATAAAGATGGACAGGAAGAATAATGGTGAATAAATAATGGTCCAGTAAAATGAATTATGCTTTTCCTTGTCCTTCTGTAGAGTCAGAAAGGGTTACAAGTGGTATCACAAATTAAAAAGTTTTAAGTAAGCAGTCAACCATTATGGCATGGTGCCATCGACCCTTCAAAGATGGTACCTGTAATAAGTCATAGACCAAGGTCTGCGACTGACTGGAGCCATCGGAGAGGCAGCATTTTACGGATGACATCAAACAGGATCATGGGGCGACTTCAAAGGCTGAATCCAGAATCAGCACGCTCCCCTAATAAAAAGTATAAGTTCAACTTTGGGTTTTGCTAGTGAAAGTGACTTGGAAAATCAATGTACATTTAACTAGATACATAGGTACTATAGGATATACTGTTTTCTGTGTGAATACATCATGTAATACATTCTTAGCAAATGTGTTTTAGAGGGCTGAGCAAAAGGAGAGTCTTGGAGGATAAATATTACTTGGTGAATCAGGGGCTCGGAGGCAGTGAGCTCTGTCCTCAGGGCAGTCATCAAAGTTGATTGCGGAGTGCAGCTGCCAGCCGGCCTCTCACACCAGCAGGTGCCAGGCACGGACAGCACCGCTCCCTCAGACATTGACCCCGTGTTAGGGAATACGCTGACGCGTCCTGTTTACTCCAGGAACAAGCAGGGAGACTAATGCCCCACTCCTCAAGGAACGGCCCACATACCATAAAGGTTTTATAGCTGTTCAAGACAGACTTCAGGTTCATTCTTTCCAGATTCATTCACAGGGAGGGAGCAGGGAAGGGAGGGAGTTTGTAGGGAGGGGATGGTAACAGCAGAGCAGTGTTTAACTCAACAGATTCCAATGTCTCCGTGGTGAAGATGATCAAACCCTCTACCTCCCCAGCCTGTTGGCTCCACAAACAGAAAACGTCAAGAGTGGGCAACCTGCCAGATGTTCCGGCCAGCAGCTGAACTGAAGCAGACCTGCCCTGCGAAAGGAGGGAGAGAAACATAGCCAAGTAAACCCAAGAAGGGAAAAATGGCCAACTACCACAATAACCATGATGCTGCCCAGCTGAGTGTCGGTTAAGGTGTGAATTAGAATATAACTGAAATGTTATATCATCATATTCCTGTAGTTCTATTAATTAAATTTTATTATGTGCCAGGCACCAGGTTAAGCATTTAAGTGCACTCTCTTATCTATTCCCCTCCACTCCATGAGCTGGGTTCTATTATTAACTGTTTTGTGAAAGAGGAAACTGAGCTAGCACAGGAAGTGTTTAGAAGAGAAGTCAAGATTTGAAGGTAGATCTGTCAGATGTGATTAAATGAGGCACACGGAATAAGAAATCAAGGAACGATGTGCTCACTGCAGTTGTTCTGAGTTGCAAGTTGACAGCTAGAAAGAAGCCACTTTTTTGGTTACCGTGTACTTTATAAAAATTATTTTATATTTTCCTACAGAGTAGATATTAATCTTGTTTTATGGTAGAATAGAATTAAAATTGGGTTTCCTGATGCCAAAGTCTCTCGGTTTCCATGGAATCTTACTGAGAGGAAAAGGAAATGGAAACGAATTTCCATTTCCAATGAAGATCATGCATGCTACTGAGGGTCAAATTCAGAGCTCAAATCTCATTTAAGCAGTAGTTTTACAACGGCAAGCAGAAACACCGAAATGACACCCAGGATTTGGAGACAAGATATTCCTAGAATATCAGGCCCTGATCTGTGGTGGTCTGGGGCTTATATGGGATAAACAGGCAGGAAGTACAGTAGAGGCAGAGTGGCTGGGGATTGTTTTTTACAGTGTGCATCACAATGACTGGTCTTTCTAAGAGGCCAGAAGCAACCAGAACTGGAACAGGAACTATAACCTGAGCAATAAGAAACTGAAGTGTACTGGCTGGGGAGAAGGGATATTTTCTTTTACAGTTTTGACTTCCACTCATGATTACTTATGAGAAACATTGTTTTATTAAAAGTTAACTTTTTAAAATCCACTAATCAACAGTAAAAATCTTAGGGGTATAGGAAAGAAAAAATGCAAAGCCTAGTTTTAATTTGCAATTTGTTTTATGGTGTGCAAAGCACCTTCTTAAGCTTGTAATGGTTTTTCCCATGCAGTTTTATGGCTTTTTCAGTCTCCATTTTTTATAATGTGGAAAGTCTACACAGATCCATAAATATTTATTACACCGCGATTATAGAAGCCACTACCATTTGCGTAGGAGGGTCTTTAATGGGTATTATCTTGTTGGCTCTGCACAGCAGCACTGTGGAGTAGACAGCCTTTTTGACCAGAGAGGAAATTGAGCTTCAGAGTGTTTTCGTGGCTTGCCAAGGGCAAAAAGTTAGTAAGGAAAAAAGCCAGAACTCATCAAGCTTGAGCAGTGTTTTCCTCTGTATTATGCCCATTTTCCTCTTGAGGATCAAAGCAAGAAAACTGGATAATCAGACCTTGGATAACTGAGGGTTAAGATCACCTAAAGATGTGGCACTCTCTTTACTTTGCTTACAAGATTAAAACAAAGAAAGTGAACAAGGAGCTTACCCACGTTCACACTTTCAACCAAGTCTAACTTGAATATTGACCTTGGCTCTGCCCATTTCTGATTGCTGAACCCTGATGACTGATTTCCTTGCAGATATGCGTTAGTGATAAAAGGGGAAGGAAAAGGTAGTAAACTGGAAAAGAGGGACGAGAAAAAGGAAAGAAGAAATTAAAGGACAGTAAAGCAAACTAAGCTAGTGAATCAACAGAAAGGAGACTAGGGAAAAAAAACCCAGGCACAGAAAGAGAAAAGAATTTACCATCAGAATAAAATACAGGTGATAATTCTTCTGGGCGCTTTCCTTCTTGAATTGTCCTACATCCAGCTTCAAAACAAGATCTCAAGTTTCCCTCCATTTAAATGTGCACTTGGAAATAAAATTCATAAATCCCCATTAACTCTCACTGTCTTTGTCATTCTCTAAAGACATACATTATAAGGACCTGTCTGCCTTCCTGTCCTTGAAGTTCCGGCCCCTTCATTACTTATAGCTGGAAACACTTAACCCCTTTGTGTGGGCTCAGTACCATTCTGGATACTTAAACCAATTCAAATTTTGATAAAAGCAAATAAATGTACTCCTTGACCCATGGGCTTACAATATCTTGTGGCTGAGTCTTCTAGCATTTGCCGTGATCTCATCAATGAAGGCCTTCCCTTGTTCCTCAGTTCCTTAACTGACTTTCGTCCTGCCTTTTCCCAAACATTTGCTTCTCAAAAATAACATCAAAATAAAGCCATCTTTACTCTTGCTAAAGTAAAAGAAAAGCTTGCTTTGACAGAGTCTTAATGTCTCGGAATGGGGAGGGCAAAGTTGGGAACTGTGAGGTTTTGCAGTCTAGTGTATTGTATCTTTCAATCTTGAGGCTACAACGGGATAGGAGAGGGATAAAATAGTCTAGGAATGCAGGGAAGTAAAGCAAGGATTTTGAGACTGTAGATTCAGAAGGTCTTGGGGATAAACTATCATTTGTTACTATCTATTGAAAAATTAAAATATTTGAGTTCATTTATTTTTCTAGAAAGTTCCTCAAACAAACAATAAACTTGCTTGTAATTTTTATTTTCCTGGCCAAGAGTTTTTGAAGTGCTAACATCCTGTTACGGAATCCTGGGGACTAGTAAAGTGGCACTGATGTAGCTAGGAAGCTGTGGGGATGCAGGTGGTTTTGTTTCTGTATCTCACCTGTGGTCATTGTTCAGCCTGCACTAAAAAATAGACCCTCAACATCTAGGCATTTGATCAATTTAGGCCTGGTGTTTCAATTTCCAGAAGTTTCATGTTTTCTGTCCTTTTGGCAGGGTCCTTTTGGGGGGACATGAGGATAAAACACATGGCTGGATCATTTGTTATACAGGAATTTTAAGACTCTGGAGGTCACACCTCCAAAAACTGAAATCAGACTTCGTTGTCCACTGTTGAGCTCAGAACCAGTTAAACTAAGAGCACAAAGTCTATCCCCAACCTCAAGAACCAAATATGGGTAATCATTTTGATTATCTAAATTTATGGGGTTTTTTTCTACTTATTTATTTAAAAATTTTTATTAGTACATATTATCAATACAGAATAAAGGGGTTCATTTCATGATATTGATGCATGCACATAATTATTCTCACCTCCCTTATCCCCCTCCCCTGTGCCAACCCTCCTCCCTATCTCTAAAGTCTCTCTTCTAGTTTCTTGTCATATCTCCGTTAATTAACTGAGTTTGGGGAGATTAAAATGGCAGAGTAAAGATCAGCAGCAAAACACAGCCTTTCTAGATCTGGAATCAAGACAACTAAAAAACAACAACTTATTAAGAAAAAATATAGGTCTCTAGAATCAAAAAAGAGCTGATAGGAAAGCTGGGAACTACAGAGAAGCCGAATGCAATGCAGAGAAAAGAAGGAAATGGCCTGGAATGCTAACCCCTGCTTCCAGGGAGGAAGAGCTGCCTCCCCTGACACTAAGTACTTGGAAGCCCAGGCACGGTCTGCAGCTCCGGAGAGAAACAACGACTGGGCTGGCAGCTCCAGGTCCAAGGCAATCTCACAATTCTTGTAAACTGCAAAAACAGTGTAAGGGTTTTACTCTGAAAGTAACTCCATACAGCAGGGTACAGTTGGAGAGGAAATCCAGTGCAGTGTCTGCTGTAATTGAGAGTATTTAACTAGGAGCCATTTTGAGAAGGGGTTAAATGTTTAAGATTGAATAACAGAATAACTACCCTTCAGGGTTACTGAGGCTACCGTACCACAGTGATTGGATGGGAGATAGTTACAAGACGCAACTGCAGAGAGAATGCATTGTGTACTGCAAGCATGCATTAATAATAAAAATTAATGATTTTTAAAAATTTTCCTATTGCTCATAAAATATGCAATAGTTAATAATCTGAGACTGGCTTATTTGGCTTAACATATTGATCTCTTGTTACATCCAATTTTTCATTCTTCTTTATGGCTAAATAACATTCTATTGTGCACACATTACCCATTTCTTTAATCAGTCACCTGCTGAGGGACATCTAGCTTGTGTGCATAGCTGAGCTACTGTCACTGTGCATCTATTGGCATGGGCACTCATATATCTCTACAGTATGTGCTTTTTAATGCTTTTGAGTGTGGCATACCTGGAGTGGCAGTCAGATCAAATGATATTTCTGATTTTCCTTTTCCTGCCTTTGCGCATTCTGCATTTCCACAGTGAATTACTACTTGACATTCCCACCAACAGTGTGGGAGTGTTTCTTTGTCC